AGGGGAGGAGTTTTATTTAATGAATAATAATGGTATTTAATGAAGCTTTCTAGTATTTGCTGTGTATTTGTTAAACGCATGACCAGTTCCAGAGAAATTAGAGCACTATCAAATTATTATTGGAACGCCAGTGGGATTAGCTAAGGAACACATAAGAGGTGTATAGATTGATCAGTTCTGCCTACTACATTTCTTGCTTTTAGTGTGACTGGTTTTCCTGCTTGATAAACCCATAACCTTTCTCTTTCCTCCACTGCCAGTCATGGTTAGGCTTTGCCCAAGGTGTCTGCTGCTTGTTTTCTGAGGAGTCCTTCAAACGATTGTTGGGTTGTGACTGTTTCCAAGTGTCTGCTATAAAACCAGAACATGACTGGCCGGTGTTCATTATTGTTGTTCACAAACCAACACCAACAATTAAGCCTCACTCTGCATTGTGGCAGATTAGGAAAGTCTGAACCACAACATTGAATTACCATCACATTCAGAGCCCTGTATCAGGGCTCTCTACAGGACATACAGGATTCTACTTCCTGTGCTCATAGTATTCCTAACTACTCCAAAATATAAGACTTTAAGTGAATAAAGCTTTGTGTATAGGAAAGTAGAGGTTTGAGTCTCAGAAGCCCTTCTCAATATCAATATTGGAAATCTGAAAGTCTAAAAGGTGGCCCAATACAGGGCTTAAATCTTTCTCTCTAGAGCTGAGAAATCCCTGTGTAGCCCATTAGCTGAGCAGCAGGTCCCTGACAATCTGAAGAATTCCAAGAACTGTCCCTTAGGCCTCTTCCAGTCCAGTCATGGGCAAGAGCCAGCCAGAAGCACCCAGCACTGTGCCCGAGACATCCCGAAGCCTTAAATAACTGCACAGTCCCTGCCTGCTCTGTGCTTCTGCCCTCCGGCCACATTTGACTCTGGAATTCACCTGCCTTTGGAAATCTGCACAGTTTCACCTGTGACAGCTCTGCTGACAAACAGGGCAGATCAGAGCTTTCATCTGGGTGATGAACTGCCAGGCTGTCAGAGCGGGGAGGAGCCGTGCCGGGTGAGACGGGGCAGCGCTGCCGCGGGGGGGCTGCGTCCTGACCTTGGAGAGCTGGACTTGCTCTCACCTCCCAGAGCCCACAGGACAGTAAGGGCACGTGCTCCCTTCCAAGGACACGGATTCACATGGATACAGCAAACAGAGACATCCCTGAGTGCCCACGGGGACCAGGGAATTTCAGAACTTTGGAAAGATCCGGCTACCCCATTTCCCAAACGGGGGCCTCCCACACTGGGTGATTAATTGGGAGCTAGGTTCTAGAAACCGATAGTGAAGTAATTACACATACAATTATGTCTTTTCATCTGAATACCTGACTATGAAGCCATTATTTCCCCACAGCATGACTTGATCCACCTGAATTTTGGTTTGTTTTTAAAAGGGTCACCACAGCAGTTCACTTTTCTGTATGACACCCTGTACAGAAGAGCATTGTGTGACTAAGGGATTTCTCTACAGGTTCTCTTCCAGCTTCACTGGATCTGATCTTTGAAAAGAGAAGGATCTTAGCTGGACATTTTGCTACCTACTCCCAAAAATGTGTTCTGGGTTGGGAAAGCCCTGCAGGACTGTGACCACCTGGATCAGCCCATTGAATTGGAACAGAGAAACACAAACACATTATCCCCTCACCACTCTTGGCTGGAAACAGTCACCAACAGAGACATCCTTGCCCTTCAGCTTCTAAGAAAGTACAAGATCTCCCACAATTAAGGCTCAATAATTAATTTAACTGGGGGGGGTGGTGTCTGACAGCCAAATCAAGACAAAAACATCAGGTTCATATTACACTGACTAAATTCTAAATTATTAATTTTGCTACTAAAATGAAGCAAAAAGTTCTATGTAATATTTTAAAAAAGAAACACCCCAACTTAGAGCAAAACAGACCTAGCCATTTCTTGGAGGAAGAAGAGAGTGGGCATTTTTAAGAAAATCAAAAAAATCAAAAGTTATATTCACAAAAGTACTTGCCAGTGCTCCTTTACTTGTCAGCCTCATACTGAAAGTGTCCAGCAGAGAATTTAGAAGAGCCAGTTACTTACCCCTTTCTGTCTGCAGTAAACTGAGCCCACATCTAACATCTGAGTGGCCTGAACAGTGTACTACACTTAGTATTTCTTGTACCTGGGCTTAATATTTTAAAAATTAAAACAGAGCTAAACCTGAGCTTGAAAGCATCTCTCTATCCTCAAATATCCAACAGCCTTGTGTCACTGCCTCAAGGAAGCAGCAAGATACAGGGTTTAGTCAAGAAGCAAATGGGTGCTTTTAAGCCAAGTTATTAGTTCCAAGGATGAAGACTTTGTCAAGCCCTCAACTTTGTTTTAACCCCTCCCTTCGGCTGAAGTCTTCTGTCATCTCCACATTAATTTCTGTCAACATGTGGGGAATTCTGCTGAGAACTTCTCCCATCTTAACCCACTACAGATGCATTTTTCTGCAAACTTGTTGACTGTAGGGCTGCAGTTTCAAAGCAAAGGGAAAGGTGGGTTTCATTCCAGTGGAAGCCTGTTATGAGAACATCAGTCATCTATTTGTAACACCCCCAATTCCTGTGGAGGACTGGGTTGGTACAAGATTACTTGATCCTTGTTTCTTAGAAGCTTTCCATTTACATCCACTAATGGCCACGGTAACAGACAGGATGCTGGGATGGCTTTAGCTGTGATCTGATCTAATTTGACTCCACTTGTGTGATTTGATAGTGGGTCCAAGACAGTGTCTCTGCAGTGAGAAGATTTACAAGGTGTACCCAATTTAAACAGGGCAGTTTGGGGCTGTGTTGCTCAGGAGGACAGAGACT